AGATCTCAGGGGACGTGTCTGTAAAGATGGCAGCTGGAATATACTACTCCTGTCTATTCTTTCCTGASATCCACAGACAGATGAGAACTACAGGCACACCTTATTTGCACAGGCAGTAAATCCAGCATTTCCGGAAGTACCAGCCCAAGTGCAGACCAACCCGATCTATAGACATATTCAACAGGTTCAGAGAAAGTTGCAACATAYGGCTTTCTCTGCCAGGAGGAACGGCAGTTACACACCAAGACAACCACGAAGGGCACCACTATTCAGCTATTTAATCCTGTATTTCCTACATAACTGTACTGCATTACTGGCATCTCTGAAGCTYTGAGGTGGCAAAGACAGAAATAAGAGCTTAAGTCCCAAAGGGTGATTACAAGCCTTTCCCAAYACATATGCCACTATATGCTGGAATCTCTTCCCACCTGCTCTTCTTGGTCTCCTATTACCTTTCATTTCATCTAAAGCATTACACCTACCTGGAATCTTCCAGCTGCCCAAATTACTTGAAGTGTCTCTCTACCATCTCCCAGGCTACTATCCAAAGAAAGCCACACTTCACAAATTTCCACTGTTTCCCATAGTGCAAAGCAGAAGAGGGACTTAAACCAGCACTTGTAATTATATAACCTGAAGATGAAGATCTGTTCTCAAAAAAAATTTACTGGTTTTCCAAATGCAACTTTTTTTTTCTTTTTTTTTTCTTTTTTTTTTTTTTTAATTATATTCCAAGTAGGTTCAGTGGGGGGAAAAAAGAAAGTTTCAGGATGACCATTAAGGTGCACTGAAAAACCATGACTGCACAAGCTACAACAAAACAACAAATTTTCTGAAATTTAAAAAAACTGAGTTAGGAGCCAACTCTGTGGTTACCCTCTTTTGGCAAAAGCTTCTGAAAAGCATATACARCCATATAACTAAATATTCAACTTCACTGAAATTAGTGTTTAAGAGTCAGGGTTTTTTCCTGCTTCATTGCAGTTAGTGAGGTTGTCACCCAAAATTCACATTGTGGGCCAAATKGTGCTTGAATTATTTTTCACATTTTATTTAAACATCCCTAAAACAAAACTGCCTTCAGTGAATGAAACTATCAGAAAGAAATGACAAAGRAATAGATATAATCACAAGCAATAATCAAAATACTGGAAAATTTTATTAAATTCAGACAGCAGTGAAAAAGAGGTAAAAATTCAAAATTTAATACAGAAGTGGGTTTTTCTTCCCAAAGCAATTATCTGGGAAGAGAACAACTTGTGTTTTAAATACCTTCTTTAAGTTTTAAAAGAACACCTGACACTTCAGTTATTACAAACTGGCACACTGCCTTTCTACACTAGCTACAACCAAATATGACCAGCAGTGCTGATCACAATGCAGTTTAGAACTGGATAGAACAATACTCCTAATTAAACACCACATTTAAATTAAACATTAGGTATTGGGGGTTCTTTTCTCCCATAAATAAAGAGTTTCAGTTAAGGTCATGAATCATCCTGAATTTACACACAATGGTAACATGTTAATGAGCTGGAACACTATATTCCTCTTTATATTTGGCCCAGTTACACACAGGATGATCCTCACATTTTATCTATGCCATGTCCACTGCTTAGACTTAACCAAATAGTACAGACAGCACAGCACAACTCTCAAACACAATTCTATTATAAATGAAAAACACATGGGGCAGCAGCATGCAAGTTTCTTAAAAGCATGCAACCACAACTAAAGGAATAAACAGCTGTAYGCCAAGACAAGTATCCCACCAAAATGAATCCCCACATACTGACAGTTTATCTTCATAAAASGTGTACTTGCTGTGTTTATTGTTCCACAGAATTACTTTTGCTCTAACATAACAACTAATATAAAATATTCTTGTAAATGTAGTTAGTTTCTTATTCATTCTGTACTGAGATTTTAAGTCAGTGACACACAATATTTCTATACTGACATTTTTCCTGGTGAGACACAGACATTTCTTAGTGAAACAGCATCACTGAAAGCATTTTTCCTTAGCTTTTCATTCTAACTTTATATAATGTGTTAATAGTGAAGAATGTAGCCCACACAGATATTTAACAAGAGCAAATGAATGCCTYATTCCCAAAATCTCATGTTAAGTGTTCCAACTGAGCAGTGCAGTGATAAAGAATACTAATTGAAACTAATCTACAGATACTAAAAATATCTGTATCAATACAATGCTAAAAGGACCGTATGTTTCTGCAAACACTGTGAAAACATACAACATAATTAGATATTGGGAAGAAGCAACTCCTCAAATGCAGGAATTTAAAGCTAATATTCTTTTAACTGTACTTCCTTGGAATAACCACTCACAAAAAATGATGGCCAAAGGCAGAAGAAAAACTTTTTCATTAGAAGTCATAACATCTTGATGCAAAGAATAAATACTAAAAGAAACATGTAATATTTCATTCTTATTTTAAACCTAATAATTACACTTAAGCCTTCAAGAAAAAAAGAAAATTATTATACACAAGTTAAGTGTAACAAGTCAGCACCTTCTCATGAYAGATTTGATATGCTGGCACAATAAACAAAAGGGGCAGAAAAATAAAGGAGTTCTGGAATGCCTTGTTTTTCCACACCCCTATAAGACATAATTGCATTGATGTCAGTTGTGATGTTTTATGCCAACTGTAGAGTAGTTGACAACTAGAGTAAGAAAACTCTAATGACAGGATGATTTATTAATTTAAGGCTCTGAAATACAAACATGAATATCTAACACAACAGGTAAATAGTGCTGTTCTACATATTAAAACTACAGACCCACAAACTGTGGTCAAAGGAAACAGCACAGTATATACTCAATTAGAATAAAGCATCCAAGGCATTCTACCAGAAAATAAAAACCAGCTACCTATCAGTATCATTTGCAAGTCTAATACTTTTCAATATGAAATATGTATACACTCCTTTACTGCTACTCACGTTTTTTCTCATATGCTCATATACCAGACATGGACAGCTTCTATCATCCTCTTTAACACTACTACTCTTATGCATAGARCCAACTTCTGATTAGTCTGTTAACTCAGTATCACATCTTCCCTCAAAGCTCCTCTAAGCTGAGACCGATCATGTCAACTGAAAGATTACTGTCTGCTAACATGTGGTCAGTAAGGACTGCTGACACTGACTTAATTCATCCTGCTGAAAAAGCCTCTAAGCCAAAGCCAACTACTTGTGCTACATTGAAGATGGTAGCACAATCTCCTAGACCTTGAATCTAATGCAAAATCAAAACTTAGTTGCACTAAACAGACATAACACCAAATAATTTAACAGAACAGAGATTAATTGTTCTGTTACACTATAGTTTTCATTTATGTCACATTTTCACCAAGAGAATACATTGTGAGTATTCATTATTTAAAAGGATGCACTCCATTAAAAAATCCAAGTTCAGAAATGCAAAAATCTCTTCCTTACATAGCAAACTGAGAGATGTGCTTTGATTCAAACATTCCACAGCAGTGACAAATTATAGAACACAAAAATATGCTAACATAAATAAGCCAAAGTAAAGCTGAGTAGTGCATTTTCACACACTGCAACATAGCACCCAAATAGAAATGCTTAATGCTTCCACTCCAATTCACATATATAGAATATAATTCAAAAACTACCTGTGTGATTCTCTAAGGGATGCAACTCATTAACCTCACTAAAACTGAGAAATTATAATTCAAAGATAGTGAAGCCACAAACTACTGGTTACAATGAGTCTGACTTTTCTTCTCATTTAAGGGCAACATGGATGGTATRACCACTAACTATTTCAAAAACATGAAGTAATTAAAAAGTGCATTTTGGGGGGAAAAAAGTAGAAGTATAAGAATATGAGAGAATAAGTATTCAAGAATGACCGAACTAAGAATGTCTGAGGAGGTTAACACAATCATTTTTCTTTGAATGCTGAGAAATTAAAAAGAAGAGTGAGATCTGGCAACCATATGCCTCACAAGCAATATATGTAACAAGAAGCATATAATCTGCACGTAGACAGAATAATAGAATAAATAAACTGTGGATAACATTAAATGACAGTTCACAGAGAACAATTAGATTAGTTCAGATAATGAACTAAGGGGGGACAAAGAGTACCTGAGCTCAGAAAAAAATCTTTCTTGTCTGCATAAGTACAATAAGCATATTAACACACAGAAGTAGCTGTGTGCATGCTGTTCTATAGCTCAGTTTGCTGAGCAGCTAAGAATTAAATGGACACAAGTGTACTGTTTAGGCGGAAAGAAATTCCAAATAGAATATTAGTAAGGAAACAAATTCCAGACAAAATACTGCAAGATATAATCTGAAATGCTGTTTACAACTGATTTGCCAAGAATTTCAGAGAGAAGAATATTAAGTAGTTAGTAGTTCCTTGTTTCTGTGGGAAAGAAATCCCACAGAGYATGGTATTTAAAAACTAAGACGTTCACAGAAATATGAAAAAAGCAGAAAAGCAGAAGGCCTACAAACACTGACAGAAGATTCTATAGTGGTGCTAAAATGAAGCAAGACCACAAAAATTCTGAGAATAAGGAAGGTGATGTTTTCTGCTCACAGATATGAGTAACTAGTCACATGGTTGCTGTCTAGCAAACTAAGGAAGCTGTTCAAAAGATTCTTCCTGATGATTCCACCCATTACACAAAAAGGCYCAAGGTGTACTGATAAAAAGAGATTATACAAGCATATCACAAAGGCAGCTAAAAAGAAATAACTATTTAACTGTCTGGCTTCTGACACTAATCTTTTGCAAAATAAAACATTGTAAATTGATGTACTGCTGTGCCACAGTAAAAATGCTGGGAAGCAACATTTTGGCACACAATTTTCTGTCATCCTGCTCTGAAATAGAAGACATCCTATAGCTACAACCTCTTCCCATGACTGYCAGACATTATCCTCCATAGAAGCAATATTACAGATTTATACAGAAATACAAGGTATTTACTTACCTTTATTTCCCTGTCCTTTAGGTCTCTGTATATAGAAAAGGGGGGGAGGGAAGCAAAACAAGTTCCATTAGAATCTTCCATTATTGACTTTAGTGTAATTTATTTATTTGCCAATTCTGACCTTTTCAATTTAAATATCACTTTAAAATATTATTAAAGCCATGCTATCATAACAATGCTATGACATTACTTAAAATAACATTATAAAATATTACATTACTTAAAATAACATTATAAAATATTACAAAACCAAAACCTGATAGAATTTCACCAAAAAACATTGAAATCATCTAGGATTTAAGATCATGTGAAGTTTAAATGGTGCTGAAAGGCAGAACAAGTGAATTTTGATTGCCCAGGGCCTGAAAAAACATAGGCAATGAAGAAAAGTAACACATGGGGTTGAAAATAAAAGTTAGTGCCTTTAAGATTACTGCCAACACCTAAATTTCATTATGAAATACCATATTTTAAATTGACTGACAGGTACTTATCAGAGAATAACATGCCTTGCTTTTTAGATATACAACGGAATACACAGTGGTATCATGTGCTGAACTTCAAGTTGTGCATTCCTCACCKAGGCAATCACACTGAGAAAATGAGACAGTCTGTACGAAGCTTTCACACAAAATAATTCCTTAAGGAGGCTTTTTTTTTTTTTTTAGGATTAGTCATTACAAAACACTGTTAATCTGTCATGCACTAAGAATCAATGTAACAGTACAAGTTACAGTTTCCCTAATTCCTCTATAGGAAGATAAAATAACTTAAAAACAAAAACTAACCTATGAAAATCTAATTCACCTTCTCATACACTTTCAACTAAGCAGGAGTGGGTCTCCAGGCTCTTTTAATAATTTTTAGTCCTGAGGAACTCAGTATTCAGAGGTTTGAAAGTTTAGGAAGTAAYCACCTCCATGCTACTTTCACGTGCATTTGTCTCAGAGTTACCATAACACAGTTCAACACTTCATCTAGAGGTGCACTSGTTAGTCACTGCCCTCTCCCAAAACGGGGAAAAAAAATCTCTGTAACCTCAAAAACTCCAACCACCTCATTTGGGATGAATCTAATCCAGGCACAATGGCATGCAAAGACCAACAAGAGACACAGAACTAGAAAAAGTTGGGAAGAAGCCTTCACGAAAGACAGAACAATGAAAAGCTAAGAGATCACTGAGCTAGAAATAAATGCTTAAAGGAAACTGGAGAGCATGCACAAAGACAAAACAAACAAGACGTTAAAGGCACAGGAGAAAAATAAAAGGAGGTAAGAGACTGCAGGACTAAAACTTTTGGGGAGTGGCAGAAGCCCACGGAGGAAGCAGAGACCAAGGCAGAATAGCTTCCAGYCAGAAAGACCAGCAGAGGCCTAGCAAAGGTAAAAAAAAAAAAACAAAATTCTATGCTCGGTGAAGGACCAAATGAAAAAAAAGTGCTGCACAGCGCAAGGAGAAAAACAGAACTGCTAGAAGAAGTAAAGGCTGGGGGGAAAAGCAAAAGCCAGAGGCCCGAAGGGAGAAAAGGTTGGGGTGAAAAGCTTAAGGCAAGAAGCGAAAAGATGCGGTAACGAGGAGCCTGGGGGAGCTTGGGGTGCGCAAAGGAGAGGAGACGGCCCTGGGCGCCGCGGGGAGCCCGGCACACGGCGCTCCCGGAGCGAAKAACAGGGAGCCCGGGGAGCCTGGCCGGGAAGAGCCGGCTCCCGGGTAGGTCACACACAAAGGGGGCCGCGGGCGGGGGCCGGGCCGGCAGCGCTCGGGGCTGAGAGGCGGCGGGCCCTGCGGGCGGGCGGCCGGGGAGGCGGAGCGGCTCCGGCGCGGATCAGCGGTTATAAATAGGGGCGGCCGGCCCGGGAAAAGGGCCCGCCATCCCGGCTCCGGCGAACAGCCTCTCCCCATGGCGGCCGAGAGAGAAGGAAGGAGGGAAGGAGGAGGCCGCGAACCGCGCCGCCCCGGCGGCGAGGGAAGGTGCAGGTGGCCGCCCTGCCGCCGCCCTCCCCCGCCGGCGGTAACGACGGGCCCGGGAAGCGGCAAGGGGAGAGAGCGGGCGGCCGCTSCCCCCGCCCCGCGGGCGGTACCTGGTCGACGCTGGTGGCTGACATTCTTCACGGGGAGCCGCGATCCCCTCGCTCCGCTCCGCCTGGGCCTCGAGTGATTCCGCACGCCGGGGCCGCTCGCTCGCCTCCGCCGCCTCCTCCCCGCCGCCGCCGCCGCCGCCGCCTGATTGTCGCCGCCGCCGCCTGGACTCGCTGCCGCCGCCGATCGGGTTCCCGCTGCAAGGAGCCGGCCGGCCGGACGCAGCGCCGCTTTCCCCCCCTTGCTCTGGTGCTCCGCTTCCCCACAATGGCGGACGAGGCTCCGGCTCCCACTTCCGCTCCGCGGCGCCCTGACCTTCCGCTCCCCCCTCCGCCGGCGTCGCCACTGACCTTTCCCTTCCCGTCCCCGCCTCCCGCCCGTCACGTGGCGCGGGAAGCGGCGCGGTGCGCGGGGGCGGGGCCTGAGGCGGCGGGCGGCAGTGCGCGTGCGCGCGGCGGGAGCGGCAGGCGGGACAGGGTGGAGCTGCTCTTCCCGCCTGTGTCCGGGAGCCAGCGTGCGGATCGGGAATGCCCGGGAACGGGGACCTGGATGGTTCCCTCTGCTCCATCGCTGTGTGCCGGGGAGCTGCCGGGGCGGCGCGGTGTGGCGATGGCAGTCCTCGACCGGGCCGTGAGGGCTCCTGCTGCGTGCGGAGGGCTCGGGCTGCGCCTGTCGCCCGTCTCCTCCTGAGTTACGGAGCACGGAATGGGTCAGGTTGGAAGGGACCACAGTGGGGCATCTGGTCCAGTCTTCTAGCTCAAGCAGTACCGTTCCAGAGCACATGGCACAGGATTGTATCCAGACGGTTCTGGAATATCTTTAGCGAAGGCAGWCTGTTCCAGTGCATGGTCACTCGCACAATAAAGGAGTTCTTTCTCCTATTCAGGTGGAACTTCTGTGCATTTCTTTCGCTCCTTGTCCTGTTGCTTGGTATCACCATGAAGTGCCTGGATYCAGCCTCTTGGCACTCTCCTTYAAGATATTTATAYGCATTAATGAGGCCCCCTCTCAGTCAACTGGAGGCTGAGCAGCCCAGCTCCCTCAGCCTTTCTGCATGACCCAGAAAGGAGACCTTTTCCAGACCCTTGAACCAACGTAGTAGCTTTGCACTGGACCTGCTGCAGGAGCTCCATGTCCCTTTTGTACTCTGGAGCCCAGACCTGGACACATCACTCCAGCTGGGCCCTGCTGCTGCCCCTCCACAGCCCGGGTATGTGCAGGGTCCCGGGCATTTCCTGGGGCTGGAGCCCAGAGCTCAGAGCCCGCGCTGTCTGTGCACTCTGGGCAGCTGAGCTCATGGATGGCAACACCTGCTCATAACCCTTACCCTGCAAGCTCACACCCAGTGTTCTGCTCCTGCCCAGGTACCTGTGCTATAGCACACCTTTGGTAGGAGAAGGAGTGATGCTTTGTCAAATGCGAGGCTTTTTTTTTTGGTCTGGGTGCTTCAACTCCATCATTAATGAATTACACTGTCCTTTATTGATGGAAAAAGTGAAGCAATTGTATTGGGGCTTCTTGCAGCAGCCATCAGTAATATCCAAGACCACTTCAACAATGCCACAAGGGAGAATTAAGCATTTATAAACTTGAATCTGAAAAGTCAGCAATGTAGTTAATATGCTGCTTAGATTTTGGAGGCAAGRATGCCTTAAATCCAACAAAATTGTGTAAACATAGCTGTCAGGGCAATGGGAAGGTACATCCCTCATGACCCGARTCCAAGTGCCTTTTGAAACTTAATGAATCTGTTTTTTTCTTCTCTAAATATAGCGTTCCTGTTCTGTTTTGGTTTTTCTTCTTTTATTAATTGCACAAAGTAATCTTGGGGAAATAACAGTACTGGATAAACACTCAGTTTATAGTAGCAAATAATTTCTTAAAATTGTCAAAAAGTGAACATTATACTGGAAGTTACCCAGATATGGTTTAAGACTTGCAGAATGTTCATTTACTTTGTTGCAGTGTAGTCTGTAATTTTGACCACTAGCTATGAAGGAACACCCTAGAGTACAGAGGAAAGCGACAAGGATGATGTAGGTCTGGATGTGGAAAATAGAAGAAATGATTTCTTCTATTGAAATGATTTCAAAAAAAAGATTGAAAGAAATGGCCTTGGATGGGCTAGAAGGAGAAGAATGAGGCTAGGATATGACAGGAAGAAAATAATCAAATATTTTTATGCATTTCAAACAGAACAAAATACGAATTTAAACTGCAGCTGGYAAGGTCAAAGTTGATCTTTTATGACACCTGGATGAACTAGCTGACCTTTAGTACATCTGCAAATTTAACTTTGCTTAAGACCCTTAAAACACTATGCACAAGTAAGACTGCACTCCCACTTCTAGCACAACAGTTAAAAAGCAGGTGAACTGAATCCTTTAGATTCAGTCTTTCAAATAAGATTTCTRTTTTACAGTTTTCCTAATTCATAGGCAGGTATGGCATGAGGGGAATTTAAATTCTTAGTGAAGTGTTGTAATGTACATACAAAAAGATTGAACAGGCAGAAGGAAAGTAAATCAAACAGAGCACAGGCTCTGGAAGAAGTGCCCACATCAGTCTCCTTACTGGTATGGTAGGCATTCATTTCTGCCTTTGGTTTGCTGAGGTTTTTTTCTGTTTGATTGTTTGTTTGTTTGTTTTCCTGGCATCTTCTGTCCTTATTTCGTTTAGCCACTGTGAGATAAATTCAACTTGGAATGTGTTTTGGTGTGGTGGTGATAATATTGCCATGAGAAATGTGGGTTCTAATCTCTTCCCAATGATCAGAGAATTCAGATCTCAGCATTTCTTAGGCCATAGGCACGTCCCACAAAGTTACATGCTGAACAYGGCACTGAAAATTCCAGTTTCAATCTTAGACACCTTGAATTTGACATCAGCAACACTCAACAAGATTCTRCCACAGAAATCCATTGGGGAATCTGGTCCAGTGAAACAACAGCCTTTAAACCATCTGGTTCTTAGCAGCTTGCGAGTTCTCAATATTTTATCCTGTGACCCAGGAAATGCGGCTTTTAAATCCTCTATTTTTGGAATCATAAAATGGTACYAAAATGCCAGTGTTTCAAATGGTTTTGGCCCTCCTGATTAGACAAAGAAGTCTGGAAAGAAAGCAGCCAAAAMCTTTGAAAATGGGCATCAGGAAAGGACAATTCAAATTTATTAATTAACATCTCATTGGTTTTGACCCAAGGCCATTTATTTTATGAGGCTGACAGCTGTGTTTGAGTATTTCGGATTTTAAATGGTGCTTCTTTTACAGAAATACTGTATTGCCTTTGAGACAGTGCTGGCCCCCAGTGACTTAATAACATATATTTAGTTAAATATGCAGTATAATATGAGATTTTTTTATTCACTTTATAATGGTTGCTGTGATTTGTATGACAAAAATCCAATGCGCTGCAAATGTTTCCAGTTTTTCATAATGTTGATGTCTGTGCTTGGAAGGGATTCTACATTGTTCCTCCTTATCTATACCATTAGGAATGTGGYACAGTGAAAATTATCCTTAAAGAAAGTGCAAATTCAGCAGGATTCCAGTCTGCGTTGCAAGCTTAGGCTCAAATGAACCTTTTTGATGGGGAATAATGCAAGCCTCTGAGGACTTGCTGGAATGCTCTGTGGCAATTAGTTCTGTAATATTATAGTTCAAGTTCCRGCCTTATGTGGCTCTAGAGACTTTGGAAATATATATGGTTCATTTTTCAAAATGCTTTTAGGCCACTTTTTTTATCCCTTCTAATTTTCCATCATCCAGTAGTTACATTCAGGTATATTATTTGTGATCTGAACTATGATAGTTTGATTCCACCACCCTTTGCCATCAGATTATCGTACTGAAGGTCTGCGTCATCCRTGTGCATGACTTGCAGAGATGGTGCCAATGGAGCCATTTCTAGGCCACTCTGCTGGCAGTTTTCTGAATTGACTTAATTGGAYAGGGAGTGCCATCCAACAGTAAGATTCTCATCAGGACTCTGTTTCCTCGTGGTTCTTTGAGATGCATATCAAATGGATGTGTGCTCATGACCCTGGAAAGGGCTTGGGATCCTTCTAGAAAYGTAGCTCTAGACTGCAACAGTGCTCAGGAGGAGGACAGTTTTGTTTAACCTTGAAATTGGTAGATCCTTATCAAAATCRTCCCTGTTGCATTCAGCAAAACCTTTTGGATTTTTCCATTACTGCTTTWAGCGTAGTTACTGTGCCAACTTCAAAGCAAACATAAAGGATGGCTATCTTTACCCTTTTGAGATACCTTTTCCCCTTTAGCTTCACTTGACAAAACTGCAAAAAAGAACAGATGTATTTTTAAAAGTTAGGAAAACTTTAAGGCAAGAATTTCTTTGAAAATGGTTGAGATTTAATACACAAGTTCTGAAGTGCTCAGAAAATGCAGTGAAGTTTCTCTTCTTAAYCATTAAAATGTAAAAATCCACCATGATTTTCTCATACATCTCCAARGTTGTCMCTGGACTGTAAAGCTTTGCTTTGTYAAGTCTTMGCTACAAACAGAAAGTGTCCCCAAGAATCTCAAAAACTAATCCTAGACAACAGACAAACTGTAAATACCCTGCTGCCTCTGTTTCTCAGTACAGCCTAACTGCAGCTCAAAAGAATTATGAAAATATTTGTTAAATAAGTAGAAAATACATGCTACTAGTGTTCTTTTTTTCTCTTGTCTCAAAAAATGTAAAAAATACATCACTGCATTATGGTCTGATCTCCAAGCAGCAAGATGGACTATGTGGCCTTCAGGCCCACTAAACAATACTTTTATTATTTGTGATTGAGAGAATCTGTTGAATGGTTCATGAGGCAAAGTGAAAGCTCAGGTGTTGGTGACTGCTGATGCACATGCCTTCCAGAATGTCCCAGTTATTAGCACTCCTCCAGCTGCCCCTTGGCATTAGCTGGGGTCAAGAGACTKGGATGCCCAGCTTCATCTGGCATAAAGGATCATTGCATTAATCAAAGTCCTCATAACATGGGTATAAAGGAGTGAGAAACAGAGCTCAGCTGCAGAAAAATAAACAATTTCCTTCTCTATGTGTGAGACTTAATAGTTCTGATCTATTAAATATAAGAATATTATATTATACTTATATATACTTATACATAGTATAAGTATATATATAATACTTATATATAGTAAAGGCCTTGTCATATGTAATTTACTAGTAGTCATTAAACAACTCCATGTTCTGCCCTCTGTGTGAAATGCATTCACATGCTGAAGTCCAGGGCAGGTCCCAGATTCCATCAAGCCTTCTTTTACAAGATTTGAACAGTTCTGAATGTACAGTAGCATCTATGTAACAGGGAATTTAAAAATATGCAACAGGCATTCAGGAAAATACACTGATGGTAAAAGAGTGATAAAGGTATGCAATATGTTGATGTTGACAATGCATTTCTTGGGAATGAGGAAATACAAGTTTGCACTAATGAAAGAATTTGAAGTAAAACATTGTATGAAAGGACTGCAAAATTATATGATAGACTGTAAATAACTGTAGAATAAAATATAATTGATGGACAATTCAGTAGAATGTAATAGCTCAAAGCTAGCACTGTGACAAAGTAAAACAGGTAAATTCATGTATGCTGTCTTTATTTAGAAACTACTGCATTTAACCAACAATGATTTCGCCTCCTAGATACTTTGATTTTATTTCCTTTGTTATGCAGTGTGTTATTTTTAGTGGGCTCCATTATCTGGGAGCATGAGGTAAGGCAGAAGCTTTTCACACTGGCAAGCTTTCTCCACAGAGATACTAATGAATACTCAAGTGTTCGTATATTTGATACCAGTGTGTGCTAGATGTTTGGCTTAAGGGAGCATGTAGCCACATCACAGTAGGCCTTGTCTACAAYGATTAGTTACTGACAGATCTTCTCTCATTAGTTCTCATGAAAGACAGTCTTAAAATTTAAATATATATGCCCTCTATTCCTTAYATCCTCTCTGTGAAACCCTCCTGTCCATCAGTCTATTTTTTAATTTAAATTTCACTCATATTTTRTGCAAAATGAATGTCTCTTGCTGCCTTTGCTCCTAATCACATGGAGCAATCTATCACAAATTGCTCATCATTATTGCCTGCTTGARGCTCGGCTCTACCATAGTCCTGACCACAGCCCGAGGGCTACAGAAGATTCCCAGCATGCAGAGTTTATGGAGCTGGGTTACTTCTGCTCTGCATGGTAGCAGTATTTGGATTGTGCTTTTCCCAGTCCATTAGCAAACAGCCTGTTCCCACCTGTCTCAAGATATTCCAAATGCCAGATCAGAAAAAGCATGGAGCTATTGTACAGACACCGCTAGATACCCTCCTGTTTGTTGAAGTATTTTTAGGTGACCTGTAGTAAAGAAAGCTTCTTTAGTTCCGTTTGGCCTCTGACATTTTTACTCCAGCACAGCTGCTTATGTGTTTCATTCCTGTCTCAACATTTGGCTTTGAAGAGCTGTGGGTAAATATTCACAAAGCTGGTATTTTAGGAGCCTCAAATGCTAGCCTGCTTGCCTGAGAATACGCAGAGAGTGCTATTTGCTAATTTCAATTTAACTTTATAATTTTCCTGATATTTAAGTAAAATTGTCAGGAAATGGATTCCATAATTATTTCAAAGACAAACTATTGATTTCCACCTCAGACATTAGATTCAAGAATAATCTTTGCAGTTAAAACAAAATCTACTGTATCAAAG